TATATATATATATATATATACTTGCTATATATCATATTGCAATCTTTTCGAATTGCGCGCCGAATTGTTTTTCCAGATTATAAATGCAATTAAAATTATTCTAGCAATCACGAATTAAATTGACAAGCAATTTTTTAATAATTTGATGCTACAATCAAGTATCATAAAGATAGTATTATAAAAATGATAATATTAGCTGTGGGAAAAGTTCGTGGCGTTTTTCTCATTAGATGACATTAAAAAAACGCTACGAATTTTTTTCCACATTTTTTCCCTAATATGTTGAAAAACTGTTAAATTTTTTTTTATTGCGAAAAATATTATCTCGGCTAGAACTTGAACTCGGATCTCTTGTATTCTGTACGAGTATCTTAAGCCAAGTCTTCTCGATCTAATAGCTTAGAAATTATTTAAAGCAATGAAGATCCAGCTTTGACCGTAATAGGCATTTTTAATATAAACATTTAATTTGATGCCTCGCCATCACACGACATTATGATTTTGTGTACATCCTAGCGGCTGTAATTTTTGCCAGAGACAAAAAATTAAGAAAGATTTTTAATTGTTATAGTCTTTTGTCCTAAATGAATCTAAAAAATTTTAAAATATACATATAAATTAAAATTTTATGCGACTTTGAAAAAAAAGTTTCAATTTTCACTAGGTAGCAGTCGTTTTTATTGCAAAAAAAATTATTAATGTTGATTTTTAGTTAATTTTTTAGATTCATTGACTGAGGATGGCTGATTATTAGCTAACTAATAAGCCTTATGAAAAGTTAATTGGTCAAATGCTTTTTTTCAATCGTGTACACAAAATTGAAAAAAAACGCAAAAAATAGATTTCGAAAAAACCGCGTTTAAAGTTATCGATTTAATTCTTGAGTACTTACAGTACTCTCAGAGGCTAATTTGTTTTTCCAGGGACATACAATAATTCTTCAGCTTCCTCATGGAATTTATTTTGTACGATTTGATTTGAGCCATTCTACGAGCTATTCGGATCTCTCTTGTGCTATTAACAAGAGAATTGATTTTAATCAGCTTTGGATGTTGTCAAACATAAAGAAAAAATTAGACTCATATTTTTTTGCACTTATCTGGAGGTTTAGCATCCTCTCGAAAAAAAACCTTTTTTTTCTTTCAAAGCGAATTCATTGAAATTACAAGAGATAGAAAAAATTTTCCAGAATAAAAATTAAATGGCTTTAAGAGTACTTTAATAAAAAAAAGATTTTTTTTTATTATTTATTATCTGCGCGTCACGCATAAGCGCTGAATTTATATCGATGAACTTCGAATTTTGCTCTAAAATTTTTTTCGAGACATATTCTCGAAGAGTTGTATTATCGATTTATGAAAAAAAAATTGACTTTTTTTTACTCTCTAATGTAGAAGATTCCTTTAAGTATACTTTGTATTGATATCACAGAATTTTTTTTTAAATCCCTTTTTTACAATTAAAATACCGCTGTGATTTCGTGTCAGAAATAGGAAAAAATAAAGAAATAACGAAATAACGAATTCGACGTAAGTGCAGATAGTAAAAGAGTCCGTTTTAGTCGGAGCTTCATTTGAAAATTACGGCACACAGTTAGGTATGATGGTATCCCAGTTTCATCTCGCGAAGGATTAAGCCGACTGAGAGGATTAAACGTGATAAAGCTGTCCATTATGTCAGACGAGAAATTTCGCGAGAAATCTCTCAATATAAATAGATGACTGACCGCGACTTCATACATGCGACACTTGCTGTACGTGCGATAATGTAGAAAAGCATAGCTCGTGTTCAATTGTTACCGATAACGGTCACATCAATCGCAGCAACCGGTCGATGGGACGAATCGATCGCTTTAAAAAGCCTACTTAGACGGTTGCTTTAAGAACAATCCCATGTTTTACGAGTAAGAAGCTTTAGCCTGCTTTTCCATGTCGCTGCGCTTTATGTCTCCTCACACGGACGCGAACGATGTTGGTATTTCTCGTCAAGTCATCCATTTGCCGGATGCACTGAGTGACATTTGCGCTCTCCTCTGCTTTCTCTCTCTCTCTCTCTCTCTCTCTCTCTCTCTCTCTCTCTCTCTTGCTCAAAAAAATCTCTTTTTCATCCTCTCGGCGGATCTCATCCATTATTCCCGCGAATCTTTATCCGACATGATGGAAAGAAGCGTGTTTTCGTCAATTTGACTTTGTAATGTTATTCATCGGGCGAGCAACATGAGGCATTTAATTCAAAATTGTGAAATATTATATTTGTTTTGTTTACAATAGAAGATTATAAAACAATTCGAACATTGTGTGTTTCAGCTAGCACCAATCTCGTAGGCAAGTTCACGCAGAGCGTGCGGAGAATCGTCCAGGACGTAAAAGACGAGGGCACGTCTAGTAAGTTCGATATTTTATCACATTCATCTCACGTGGGAGTTTAATTAAACTTTAGCCGCTACCTTGGCAAATCGCCGCGACTCGATAACCTTATACGCTGAAAAAGATTGCGAAATGATGAAGTGTTCGTGTGCTTCCTCTTACTTTAAGAATGCTTTTTATACGGCTCGCTCATAAAACCATTGTGAATTTATGATCTTCCTCGATAATCTCATCCAGAAAAATACAATCTAATAAAGATAATTCCTGTGCAACAATTTTTTTTAAACTTATGAAATATAAATAGTCTGAGAAAGAAGCTTTCAAAATATAATTTGTATATCTATATTCCTTACAAGAAATTTAATATTGGCTAGTTTAACCTTCTCTCTGTGTACGAATATTTTAAGAAATATTCTTAAGAAAACTTTGGAAATTTTTCATTCAGCATCATTTTATTTTTATTAAAGCATATTTGCATCCTTGTACACAGAATCTTTGTGCACAGAAAGAAAGTTAATACTGGCTAATTTATTATTGGAAGACAATAGGTAATTATAATTATTTATTTGGAGTATTAAAAGCATTGAACGGTGTACTTTTAATACTTAATATAAGTAATTAATTATTATCTTTTAATATTAAATTGATCAATATTAAATATTTATAAGGGATTTCTTATATCTTTCAAAACAGGACACAAGATTCCTATTCGTATTAACTATTAATCAACTCTTGTATACGAATTTAGCTGAATCTTAATTCGTTTATCAACATTAAATAATCAATATTTTTAATTCTTTCTTTCTTTGTACACGTTAAATAACGAATTAAAGATAAACTGCGAGTATTCGTTCTAAGTATAGTAATTCCGATGAATCAGCAATAGAGACATTTGTACGTATCACTCGGAAATAAGTGTCTGGCAGTCTGCCAACAGCGAACGTTGTTAGTTGTCCCATGAATGGAATCGAAGCGGAAACTCTTGTATTCGATTGGAGCAGAGAGTAACGGTATGTCGACTGTCGCTGTATTAGCTGAATGGACGGAAACTTCGTCGGCTGAGAATTCTGTCAGGTTTAGATTAACGTTTTCCCATCGATGAATGTGGAACTATGATTAATTCTGACATTAACGTTGCCGTGTTGCCATTGGTGAAATGCGATCAGATAAATTCTTAACGTACGATAATAATATAACAGGATATCCACAATCTTGATTTTAATGGCAAATTTCTCAAAGAATTTAAAATCAATCTAGCCTTAATGGAATGGAGTCAAGAATAATCATTTTTTGTAACTATGCAATAATTTTTGAAATTACTTATACGTCTTTCTAATCGAGTCACGAAAAAAGCCAATTAAAATTTAATATCATTTATTATAAATTGAATAAGAAAGTAAGGAATAAAATTTTTTGAACATATTTTATAGCTCAAAATATGGTTTTGTTTATCTTTGGGATTTAAACTTTTCCTACAAATTTGATGAAACTTTGATGGTGGAAACACGTCGACTGAGTTGCTTATCGTATCATGCTCGATTTATTTATGTCGAAACTTTTGACGTTATCGTAGTGTCGAGTTAATTGAAAATTAATTGAAGGCGACATTCGCATGCGCGATGTCTTCGCGTTTCCATCGCGCTTTAATTTAACGGCCCTATTAAACGCGACGCGCAATGATTGAAGCACATGATAAGGAAAATCGATCAAATACAATCATGAGAGTAAAATGCGTTGATGCACGACAGAAGTACTCGTAATCGAGGGGAAATTGCCCGTGCTTCCGATACTTTTCGAATTGCAATAAGGCTTCTCTGCGGCGGACGCAGGTGGACAAACGAAGGAGGAAGTGATCGAGACGAACGAGAGGCTGAGAGTTGTAAGGATACGTTTGGATGGCAGTTACGACACCGCCAAGAGGGCCCTTGTCGAACTGATGTGCAAGTACACCGACAGTAAGCAAGTGCGCAACGTGTTTCAGCGTTATAACCTCCTGAAAAATATGATCAAGGTAAGGAGAAACTGAGCGTCGTAATTGAATGTAACACACGAGTGTTTTTGTCACACGCTTTATGCTCGTCAGTCGTCTCAGACTTGTCGCTTGACGTAATTACGTTGTAATTATGTTGCCTGATGTGTACAGGTAAACGATAAACAGAGAACAGCAACTAGCTCCTGTTAAAACCCGGTTTAGTCACTTGCGCTTGGCTCTCTGTTAAGGAATTGCTAAGGAACTAATTATTAACTTGCAATACCATAATGTAAATTGTAATTAACTTGTTGAGTTTATAATAGACTTTTTTCAAGTCACACATAAAGTCATATATATATATATATACATACAAAGTCTAGCAAATAATTTCTAAACATAACAGATATAACAAATATGATGTCCATTGAATTTTTTTTTCAAATAATTTCACGCTTATCTCAACGTTATTGTATTTCATTTTGCTTTAAACTCCTCTATTTATTTTTCAATTAAAATAAAACAAATTTGTTTACAAAATCATATATAATATTTAATACATAGACATGACATAGCTAATCTTTGACTGGGATAAAAAAATCATGGAAAAAAATAGCAACAAATTATAAATAATTATCACATAATGTATAAATTTATTAATCCAGGAATAATCACTTGGAGTATTTTTACATCTCAGTGGAGAGAAAATGTCAGTTGTAAAATAGAATATTGTTTTCTTTCTTTTTAGATATTTTTAGATTTTCTTTCTTTTTTTTTAATAATTATTCTTTACGAATCTTTAAATATACAATTCTAACATAAACTTGCAATTAAAAAAGCATTATATTAATTAAAGTCTTTATTTTTTACTGTCATAATAAGCTACTTAAAAAAAACGTGCTTATCTCGTTTAATATTTATTTGGCTTTTTATTTTTTTTTCAAGAAATTGAAAATAAATTCATATCCATAATATTCTCAAGTGCCAATAAATCGGAAAATGATTATTAATAGACAATAATCCTGATTTTAATTGGGGTGTAAAAATATTTTAAATGATTTATATAAAAAGAAAGAATGTGATTATATCTGAATTAAAAATATGATTTACGAATATATAATATTTAACTTGTTCTGAAATTTCTCAACGATATATTTAAATTTGTGAATCGAACCGATATTCAATGAAACTGTTGGAGAAGCAATAATTATTTAAAAAAAGATGCAAAAACAGAGGGAAAAATGGCAGATGTATGATATTTTGTCAGTAAATAGTCAACGGAGCGCAAAATATCTGGACTCATCCGCGTGCAACTCGACGCGAAATTCCCAGCTGCACAAAACCGACGAACGGGCAAAGGAAAAAACGCAATCATTTTATTTTTCAAAGTACCTACGTGAAATGCACGCTGCAACGGGCACGACGTTTGTTATCCAAAAGATAGATCGCGCACCTACGGGACAAGCAACAAATAAATGCAAAGATAGTCAGCACGATTGCCGGATTGTTTGTAGTTGGTGTAGAAGACGAACGCACGTTATCGTCATCTTTTATTTTTCCTTTTTTTCGCTTTTTTGCTCCCCGGGGATATATACACAGCGATTCGCAATCGTTGGTCCCGCAGGTACATTTTCTCGGACGACGACGTTTGTTTCTGGTGTAAACTTTCGTTCTGAAGCAACCGCTATCGAGAGAATCAAGAGAGTTTATTCTTGTCAGAGAAAAAAACCAACTTGAGATTAATCCTCGATGCGAATGCGAAATAAAATTGCACCCTGTAAATGGCGTCGTTTGTTCCATCGACGGCCGTGTAATTCCAAAGTATATTGTTCAAAGTGTTTATGCGAACAAAAAATGAAATATTTAATATATTAGCATAACAAAGATAAAATTATTACTTTGTTATTGTAGAGACAATGCATAAACTTGCTATTTATCGACATCGTAGTAACTAACTATATTGTTGTTATAGAATGACACAAAATAATTAGAATTAATTTTCATATGAAACGATTTAAATGATATATTGAAAAATTGATGTTAAATTAAAACAGAATAAAATTAGAATAATAAAATAATTTAAAATTATGAAATTAAAATTAACTTGATATTTTATTGATAACATAGTCTAACAAAAAAAATTGCAGCTAGTAGGACCAGTATTTCTTAATAAGGTAGCTAAATTCAAATCCGCTAGCAAAAATGATGCCCATCATCACGTCAGATTTTTGAGATAATATGATCGAGTAATACATGAACCAAAAACAGTTTTTTTGTATATTTACCATTTTTTTTATGGCCAAATGAAATTTTATTTTTCAATTTCATTAATGCCACTCTAAAGAGTGAATCTTTACCTTTAAAACGAATTTTTTTTTACTATGCGATTTTTTTTATCGAATTATGAACGTTTTCTGAAATGTAAAATGGTAGATCCAAATTAACGGATTGAATCTGGAAAGTATTAGATCAGTGCAAAAGTTCGTGCCTGATTATTATTCAAACTTCAAAGCTGCTATTTTATTAAAAATAAAATCTAAATCTTACTCTATCTGATGAGAAAATTTAAGAATATTTTTTTTAATTGTGTGATGGTTTTGATGGAATTATAAGCAAAGTCAAAATATTCATTTTATTTAACTTGCAACAACTTAATAACAAAAAGGAACATTTTTTTAAAACAATTTTATAGGGTAAACTTTAGGCTTTTACGTTAAAAATTTTAAAATTTTTGCAATTTTTTTTGGACATGTGACAGGCCCACACACATAGTGAAGAAAAAAATTTTCCCGTTTTATTTAATTCGTAGTTTTCTATATGTAAAAATTACAAAACTCACATAAATTCAGAAAATATAGTAACCATTTGAAAGTAGAGATTTGAAAGTAGAGAAGCTTTAAAATCCTTTTTTTTTTAATTTAAATTTCATTTATTTTTAACAAAATTGCAGCTGTTTGAACTTTGAATAATAAATCGGACACGAACTTTTGCACTGATCTAATAAATAGATTTGATCAAAAAAGTATATTAGATTTTTTAGAGATCACTGATATTGAATCTGAAAAACTTAAAATATAGAAATTCAAAATGGCGGATTGAATATCACTTTTCGCATTTTGATCCTCCATAATGGGTCCGCCATTTTGAATTTCTATATTTTAAGTTTTTCAGATTCAATATCAGTGATCTCTAGAAAGTCTAAGATACTTTTTTGATATAAATCTATCTACTTTCCAGATTCAATCCGCTAATTTGAATTCACCAGTTTATGTTTTAGAAAACGTTCGTAACTCGATAAAAAAAATCGCAAGGTAAAAAAAATTCGTTTTAAAGATGAAGATTCGCTCTTTAAAGTGGCTAATGAAATTGAAAAAACTTTCGTTTAGCCACAAAAAATGATAAATATGGCAAAAAACACTGTTTTTGGCTCATATTCGATTTATCTAAAAAATCTGATGTGGGCATCTTTCGCTGACGGATTTGAATTCAGCGACTTTGAATCTATTAAGAAATGCGGATCGTAGTCACTGTAGAGAAAAAAAGTCAAATTTTGTCAGACAGTGTTATTGATGATTGACGAATAATTTAATCTAATTACAAAAAGATAAAAATATATGTGACAAACTATTTTTAAAGAGAGAGACAGAAAAATTATAGTAAAATTTAATTGTTATAGACAAAATATCTTTACAATTTGTAAGCCATCATTATAGATATAAATATAGATTAATGATGTTACGTTTTCTAAAGCGTAGATAAAATCTTCTTATCTTCTTAACCACATCTGATGAATGGGCCAATGACTCGTTCGAAGACACGCAGATAAAAGGATTCACTGTACAATGGCTGATCAGCTTGCACAAGCATGCTGCTTTTTTCCCTCCATTTCCTTTTTACGATAGTAGCCCGAGCTACTGACGATTTTGCCCTTCCAGGACGTAATTAAGCTGGAGACGCAATATTGGACGCTGGTGGATATACCGAGACAAGAGAAGCAGGAGACTGTGCCCGCCTTCGTGCTGCGTGCTTGTTCCATCATGGAGAAGACCCACAAAAGCGGCGAAGGCGTGAAAACTTCGGCGCGTCTTGCCGAGGAGGCCGAGACTAAGAGAGAGCGCATCGAAAGACTCGAGAGTAAGTATTCGGAGTACGATAAGCGATCATTGTCGAGAACAGTAATAGTGGTAGATTTTGCCGAAGAAAACAGTTCTCCATTGTTCTCTGTCGATTGTTCTTCGTCCGTGTGATTCGTTTTCCTAGCTGCGACTTTGATTATTGTCTGACTTAACACCTTCAATTGATGCGACTCAATGAATAGGAAATTAATTAATTTATTTGTGAATCGATCTTAGATCGTTTCTTTTGACTCGTTAATTTTTGCTTAACGAGACTTCAAATTTAATTTTTATTTAATTTTTAATTTAATTGTATTTCTTTAATGAATTTTATTTATTGATTTCTTTATTATGTCTTAATATTGTATCTTAATATGTAAGTTTATCTTATAATCTTAATATCTTAATATATATTTTATAATTTGATAATTACAAAAAACCTACACAATTATATATTATACACTTGTGCTCTACAATTACGAAATAATAGTAACTTTACTTTAAATACGAAGCGCCACTACGATCTGATAAGATGTTGAAGATGTTGAACTATTATATATATATATAAATGAATTAATTTCAGAAATGATAATTGCGTGCCGATATGGTTATCGGACTTTCAACGCAATTAATCTGAAATATTAATAATCCCCCAAATTTCCCGAATTTAATCTTAAAAAACTGTAATAAACTTATTGCGAAAAATATTGCCTCGGCCGGGAGTCGAACCTGGATCTCTTACATTCCGTGCGAGCGTCCTAAGCTTTTAAACTACCGAGACCTTAGCAATATTCCTCGCAATAACTGATATGTATAGAAAGTTATGCATTGTAAGCGAGTGTGTATAAATAAAAATTGGAACAAGATCGTTAAATACATTATTTTAAATACGAAGCGCCACTACGGTCTGATTAAATTTGGGAAATTTGGGGGGATTATTAATATTTCAGATTGGTTACGTTGAAAGTCCGACAATCATATTGACACACAGTTATCATTTCTGAAATTAATTTATATGAATATATTATATATAATAATTCAACATCTTAACATTCAGACCGTAGTGGCGCTTCGTATTTAAAATAATGTATTTAACATAAACGATCTTGTTTTCAATCTAATAATAATTTTTTTCATTTACTATAAATTATATAAAGAGATATGGATTCATTAATTTTCCTTTAGAAAGCTTTAGAAAGCTTTCAAATCGGAATAAAATCCGTCATTTTCCGTAATAATGTCCAAGAGATTAAAGATATCAAAGTTCCAGTACATTATGATGAAACATATCTGTAATATGTTATTAATTTTATTACATTTAACTATTTCATATTATATTTAAAGCGATAATATTGACGCAATATTACATTAAAATAGCATTGCTATCGATTATTAATACTTTGTATTAGGGATGCACCGAATCGTAAAATTACTGAATATCGGATACCGGATATCGGACATGTTACATTCTGTCTCGAATATCCGACTGGATTCCGAGAAAGTGTCTTTTAAAAAAAAGAAAGCCTTTGGGGAAAAAGAGTGTAATTTTCCAACAATGAGATTATTATAAATTAGATTATCATAAATAAAAAAAAATATATGTGTGTGTGTGTGTGTGTGTGTGTGTGTGTGTGTGTGTGTGTGTGTGCGTGTGTGTGTGTGTGTGTGTGCGTGTGTGTGTGTGTGTGTGTGTACTTATTTCTAGAACATTTTTTTGTATTAAAAAAAATAAACAATTTAATGATATCAAATTTTAACCGGATAGTAATAATATCCGATCGGATAATAAAAAAGTGCCGGATAATACCGGATATCGGATACTTTCCGGATATCCGATGCATCCCTATTTCGTATAAATATTTTGTTAATAAAATATTAAAAAGTTAGCGAATTTCATTTCTTTCCAGTCAAAATCAGAAAATTCGAATTTTTGGAGGCAGTTTAGAACTTGTAGAGAAAAGCTACATAAGTATTTTGTAATGAATCTCTTTTTCTTGTCTTGTTTAGGTTAATTTTTACATTCTTGTAAATATTTAACGAATACTTGTACAATTCATTATTTTTCTAAGAACATGAAAAATTTATCATATTTTTCATTATCGTGATATACGTGGAAAATTATTCGAAAGTTATTCTTTATTTTATGTCTCATACATGCACCCTAAATGCGAACACTAACAATGTACGATTGGGCTCTTGGGCGTGATTATCACGGATTCATAAATCACTTCAGCAAAAAAGAGAACTTATTAACAACGTGAATTGTCGATAGAGCGAATGCGCCGCGTCGGAGCTGTAATTAAAAATATTCACTGCAGGTACAATATTCTGTCCTTTCTCACTTGTTTAATCAAAGAATCATTTCCTCTTTTTTTACACCATAATAGAATGTAAATTTTAGTTGAAACCATTCGATTCAAATGGCTCGAATAAAATGGTTAATTAAAACCATTAATTAACTTGGTTAATTGATTGGAATTTTTCTGAATTTATATATGGATACACATATATATGTATATCTATTATAGTTTTATTATATTTTGTTACTATATTTTTTACATTTTGTATTTCAATAATTTTGTACATACATTTATTTTATTTTATATTTTAATATAGGAGAAACAAAGCAAATTATTTTTTTTTTAATATATACAATATATGGTAAAGAACAGAAACTATTATCAAAATATTCCAAATAAACATTGGCAATAAGAATATATAGACAATATAAACTTTTGTTGATAACATTAAATTTAAAAAAGTTACAGTTTGAAAATATTTTTCTGATATCAAATTGCTGTCCCAGTACTTCAATTTGCTTCTCGGTATATGTAAACATACATATTAACAGCCAACGTTTCCGCTTGGTTTTCATTTTGCCAGCAAGAGCAATATTTTCCTGAACATTAATTAATGCCTCTTGCTGGAATGCCGAGCAAACTATGTTGATGATAACTATACGCAACATTCGACATTGGTTCGTGTTTATCCTCTTATTAGAGTAAAAAGTTTTACAAAATTTGTTACATCGTCGATATATGTAACATTTTTATATCATATGATTGATATAAGAGCTATTTAATGAAAAAGATTAATTATACGAAATAAATGTTGTATTTTAGAATTTATTAAGTATGAGGCATATCAATTTTTTTAAATAAATTAATTGATTCTGTTTGCTACTTTATTTAAATTTACATTAAAAGCGGAACAATTGTGTTTTCCGTGATTTAATATATTTTCGAGTATTTAAAATGAAAATCATATTGAAATGAAACGAATTAATGAATTGATGTGTTTCGTATAGATATGACGACGGCACAAATTGAAGCTGAGAATACCCAGATGACCAATGATCTGTACAGATTGCTAAAGAAATACACGGGTCTTAGGAATCTCATCAAAGTGTTAAAGGTATGTATTTTACAATACTTAATTTATGGATTTTATTACATAAAAAAAGATATTTAGCCCAAGGAAAATTACATTTGGATGAATTCATAATACTAATTCATAATATCTGAAAATGTATCTTAATTCTTATTCGAAATTTTATTAAATATTTTCATTATTTTATGTAAAAGTATTTCGATATCAAAGTTAAACTTTTCCAAAATGTCTATATTAAATTAATTTAACTAGCAAATAAGAAATTTAAGATTTTTTTTTTATATTATAGCAATTTTTTTATTTTTCTCAAATTTTAATATTTATTGGAAAGATTAATATTTTTAAATAACATTCTTTCTAATTATAGTAAAATTGGACTTGAGCTATATTATATTGATTATAATTTCGCGATTGGTCGTAAAAAGATAATACTGCTTAACAGCGGCGAAACGTAACATCATCATATTAGAACATTGTTATGATGATCGTCCTTTTTCTTTTTATGCTCCAATAAATTACTTACTGCTACTCTTATAACGCTTTCCGGTCGATACGACATTATCATCTCGTTTTATGTTCTTTCTCTATGGAGTATCAAATAAATCGGAGATTAAAGATACCATAATATCAACCATTTTACGTTGTTCTTTGATTCTTTCGCGTATATTCGAAAATTATAATGTATAATACTTTTTTAAAGCCAAAGAAACCGTTTAAACATATTTTACATTATTTCTCAAAAATTTCTTGTGGCTTAAAACTATATCAATTATGTAATGCAATTTCAATTCTTCTCTGTGGTTTAAGTACTTTTCTCGGAAAAGATTTATTAATTTCTAACGATGAATACAGCCCTTCAATGCTGCATTTCTAGTGTGGCATACCCAAGATTTCTTTTATTCTCTCTCTCTCTCTCTCTCTCTCTCTCTCTCTCTCTCTCTCTCTCTC